TGCATATCGGCGGCATATTTGCCGATACCGATATATCGGCGACAGGCTCATATCGGCCGATAATATCGGCAAAACGATATATCGGTCGGGCTCTAATATATATATATATATATATATATATATTTTACATTACAGCTATAAAATTACAGTACTACTATTAATGGTTGTGTTAATATGTTTAATTTCAAACATTAAACCATCAATTTCATTTTGACGAAGAACAGCAGGGAGCCGTTAAAACAGTAACACTTTACAATATGGTTCATTAGTTAATGTTAATTAATACATTAATATGAACAGTTTTACAGTATTTATTAATCTTTGTTTATGTTTATTAATAAAAGTACAGTTGTTCATTGTTAGTTCATGTTCGCTCAGGTCCATTCATTAAAATTTACAGAAAAAAAACATTGGATTTTAATAATGTATTAGTCAATTTTGCAATTAATATGAACTGAAATTAATAACTGCTTTACGAGTATTTCATTGTAAGTTCATGTGGTCCCACTTTATATTAAGTGGCCTTAACTACTATGTACTTACATTTAAATTAATCATTTGGTACAATGCACTTATCGTGTACATACATGTTTTTACATTGTACTTTTATTTGAAAAATACCTGCATGTAAATACATCTGTAATTAATTTCTGTAATTACATTTATAATTACACTGTTGTCCCATCCCTTACACCTTAACCCACCCTTAAACCTACCCATACCACTAAACCTGTCCCTAACCTTACCCGTATCCCACCTCAATAGCAACAAAAGTGTTTTGCAATACAATATGAACACAATAAGTACATTGTACTTATTTTTTTATGTAAGTACATAGTAGTTAAGGCCACTTAATATAAAGTGGGACCGTTCATGTTAATTAATGTAGTTAACTAATGTTAACAAATGAAGCCTTATTGTAAAGTGTTACCATTAAAGCTTTACTTTTATTGATCAGCGCTTCTCATTACAAGTATTGGGAGACTGTTAGTGCATGCTGCCTTCCCAAATTTGAAGTATTTATGCTCTAGTGATTAAGCATCTAATAATTAACATTATTTAGTTATGTACCAAACATTACCTTAGTTGCCTGCAAAAATCTCTGACTGGTGAATTTTGGATCAGGATTGTTGGTAGTTCACCAGGAGTTTGGCAAAAAAAAAGTTTTGGAATCTGCAATGTCCAGTTATGTATGGTTTGTGTTGGTGGCCACTGAACGCTGGTGTTTGTTTGAATGTCTGCGTGTTTCACAGGGATTATACTACAACATGTCAGGCGTGCCGGCGGCTCCTTATGTGCTTGGATCAGTACCTCTGTGTAACAGCAATCCAGTGCCGATGGGTGAGGTTATCAGCTCTCTGCCGATGGGGGATGATGTGCCTCAGAACGGTTTTCTTCAGATTGAGATGGTGAGAGTGGGATCACCACTGTCACATTACACAGAAGAAGCTCAGAACACAGAACAGCACGTGTCAGAACCTCAGCAGGAGCCCACGCCGGTGGTGAGTCTGTCTTCACTGCTACCCAATACAGCACTATTCAAAAGTTTGAATGTTTTCGAAAGACGTCTCTTCTGCTTATCAAGGCTGCATTTATTTGATCAAAAATACAGTAAAACTATAATATTGTGAAATGTTATTACAATTTAAAGCAAGTCTTTTCTATTTGAATATATTTTGAAATGTAATTTATTCATGAGATGCGAAGCTGAATTTTCAGCATCATTACTCCAGTCTTCAGTGTCACATGATCCTTCAGAAATCATTCTAATATGCTGATTTGCTGCTCAAGAAACATTTATTATTATCAGTGCTGAAAAGAGTTGTGCTGCTTTATATTTGTGTGGAAACCATGATACGATTCTTTGATGAATAGAAAGTTCAAAAGAACAGCATTTATTTGAAATAGAAATCTTATGTAACATTATAAAAGTCTTTACTGTCAGTTTTAATCAGTTTCATGCCTACTTGCTGAAAAAAAGTACTAATTTTTAAAATTCCTATAATTTTAATTAATTAATTAATTATTTTTAGACCTTTATTTAATTTGAATTCATTTTAATTACATTTTATAACTTTAATTTCTATATATATATATATATATATTTTTTTAAATCTTACTGACTCCAATTGTTTAACAGTATATTATATATAATATTTTTATTTAATTTATTTAATTTATTTTCTTTTTTCTTTCTTTGCATATACAGCCTTTTATTTTCAGACAAACTTGAACATCATTATATAACAAAATATTAAAGTGACATTTATTTCAAAGAAAGCTAGCACAAGCACGCCTTCAAGCAAACCATTTCACAAAAAGGAGGTTTTATTGATTATTTGTCAATTTATTAAAAGGACTAAGCATTTTTGTCACAAGCGTTAATGGATCATGTTGATAGTTAAAGTGATTTTTCTACACCTGTAGTTATTCTTCTAGGATACTTTTGTGAACTTGAGCAGAACTGACCTCATATGTGACCCTGGAGCACAAAACCAGTCTTAAGTCGCTGGGGGATATTTGTAGCAATAGCCAAAAATACATTGTATGGGTCAAAATTATTGATTTTTCTTTTATGCCAAAAATCATTAGGATATTAAGTAAAGATCATGTTCCATAAAGATATTTTGTAAATTTCCTACTGTAAATATATTAAAAGTTAATTTTTGATTAGCAATATGCATTACTAAGAACTTCATTTGGACAACTTTAAAGGCGATTTTCTCAATATTTAGATTTTTTTTCACACTCAGATTTCAGATTTTCAAATAGTTGTATCTCGGCCAAATATGGTCCTATCCTAACAAACCATACATCAATAAAAAGCTTATTTATTCAGCTTTCAGACGATGTATAAATATCAGTTTCGAAAAAATTGACCCTAATGACTGGTTTCGTGGTCCAGGGTCACATATATACACTAAAAATCACCATAACATCAATTCATTAAAAGTCAAAATGGCTAAAACAGTGAAGTTAGTTCTTATTTTGTTTCTAGATACCACTTGGTTGATGACTTTTATTACTGTGTACAATGTCTGAACAAATTCAGACATGTTTAAGCGTCAATCTTTACAGCCATGTTCTCTATCCCCTATTTTGAAACCTTCAAAATGTGATGATTGTTGATTTCAAATACTTTCAGCACAGTCAGAGATTTCCACGGCTATCAACCATGTCAGACCATGCAAATGTCACATCTGCTTTCATAGATCACTCAGATCTTCAGTCTGGCGGGAGGAGAGAACGACTGCGACCGAGACCAAGGCCTGACGGAGCTGTTCACTTCCCTAGGCCAGACCGTGCTGCCCGCTCACTGGGTGGGCGTCATGGCCAAAGGCCCCGTCCTCCAGCTCCTGCAGTGCTCCAAACTCTCCACCATGGCTGACACGGTGGTCCAGATCGAGAAGGGCTTCTTCTACCAGGTCAGTGTCCAGAACCAGCCTCTGCTGCTGATGCACGCCGTCTACTCACGCCACCCCACCTGCCTCGAGTCGGTCGAAGACGTGGTGTCGCTCTTGCTGGACTTGGAGGGGCTGGGTGTGTGTCAGGGCTACCAGAACTTCCACATGGGCTCACCGTGGGAGCCTAGAATGAGCGTGAGAGCGGCTCTGTGCGATTTACTCATTCCCAAGGACGAGGAACAGTGTCCAAAATGCACACAGCCTGTGGAGGGTTGAGCAGCCGTGCGAGAATTTACTGTGAGTTCTAGTAGTTCGAGAGAATCTTCCACCAGTTTTTAAGCTTATAGTGCAGTCAGAGCTGTTTCCGACCTCATGATGAATTGACATCTAAAATGGTGCTTCTTATTTTGTTTAGTTTTTTTTTTTTTATAAAGAAGTTAGTGACACAACCTTCAAAAAAAGGACTCGTAAAACACTGAGTTTTACCGAAATCCCTTCTTTTCGTTGCTTTCTAGTTGGGTTTAGGACATAAATACATTCAGTTCTCATTTAAACTACCTCTTCATTATTTTATGAATCACCTCCCACGTGCCCTTATTGATTCAGACGTTTGGTGAACAAGTTTATTGTAGTACAATGAGAAGTATGGAAGCGTGACTTTTTTTTCTTGTAATCGCGATATAAAATCTGAATTTCAAGATATAAAGTCAATTCTGAGAGGAAAAGTGCAAATTGTGCAATCACAATTGCGGGGGGGAAAAAATCTGAATTGTGAGATGAAAAGTCTCTTTTTTTATTTTGTGGCGGAAGCAAAAAAAACATTTGCGAGGTGTAAACTGAGAATTTCGAGAGAAAAAGTCTGAATTACGAGATGTAAGCTTGGAATTGCAAAAATGAACATCAGAGTTTATATCTTGCAGTTCTGAGAAAAAAAGTCTGAATTGTGAGAAGGTCACAGTTACCATATTATTATTATTTTTTTTTTATTCTGTGGCAAAAACGGGCTTCCGTAGAAAAGTGTATTCTGTACTGCCTTTGTCGTGCTAAATTTGGGGTTGTATGATCAAATCTAAAGTTGTTTGAACACAATTTTAAAGCAAAATCATTCAACCTTTAAAAATCGTCTGTTTTTTTATTGATGCCTTACACTGTAAGGTGCAACTTTTTACCCCAAAGCTAGCACACCGTCTTTCATTATGTGTGTTTTACGTCTTTTTTGCAGGATTCTCATTACGAGTGTTTTTATGTGCTCTGGTCTTTTTTTGTCCTGTTGTTAATCACACCTGCTTCCATGTGACTGAATTGTGTTGCGCATGATAAAGTGCAACTAACGGCACTGCGATCCGCAATGCATTTTTGCTGTTGTGTGTATTATTCCCAGCCTACAGTAGACATCCGACCGGAGGACATTTCACTGATCGGCCTTTATACGCTTCACGTATATTTGAATTCTTCCTAGGAGATAAATCGATGCAGTTAACATTTGACTAGTTTTTATTTCAGTGCAACATTGTTTTTCATTCCTGAGTGATTTTAATTCATATGTTTAAGGCAGATTTTTGTTTAACCTCTACCCCTGGAGATCTGTATAAAATAAGTTGTAAAATATACATGATTGTCTGAAATTATTTATAAATAGAGGATGCAAGCTAGAGGTGTTTCTGAGAGCATCTCTGTATTGTAAATCTTGCTCTTTTGGTCTGTTTAACCACCGAGTTCAGTTTTTGAAACACTGTAAAGTAAGATTTTTAAGACGAGTGGGTAAAATAAAGGTTTCTTTTTTCTTATATAGAGAGAAAATTGTGCTCTTTTTTTTCTGTCTGAAGTGACAATCAGAATCATTCTTGATCCATGATGTAATGCAGGGGTTTTCAAACTTTTTGGTCTATGAAAAATTTAGGAAAAAAACTATAACTTTGCAACATGTACTTTTTGATGTGGTAACTTGCAATTAATGAAATATGATTTCATGCAATAAATTTATTGAATTTGACCTGTCCGATTTTATGATTTTTCAAATTTGACTTTCATTTATTTAAGAAAAATGGGGGTTGTGAACAACATTTGCTGTGAAAAGCGGTATACAAATACATTTAGATTGAATTAAAAATGTTTATGCATCCATCAGTTAACAAACATACACGACATATGCTGTCAACTTTCCAGAACATTTAAAAAAAAAAATGTTTTGGCTTTAGTACAGTGGCGAACTAAAAGGCAATTATTTATTCAGAAACTACATGTATAATATTATGCTTGCGTTTTTAGTCTCACAGTATAAATGGGACTTTATGCATGAAAATATACAGATGGTTTTATATTTTCGGAGATTTCCGAGCAAGCGCATCATATGTGGATGTTGAAAGCCCGGATGTAAATGTCGCCGTTCTTTGTCATTTCAACAGTATTCCACAAGAGGGACGCATTCTCTTAATTTAGCAGTGCATGTAGATGCAGCAGATGCTTATGAATGGATCTTTTTGAAGCGACACTTTACTGCTCTCTTGAAAGACTTCTTGAAAGATTTCTACTATGGATGGAAGACAAAAATTGTATTTCTATATTTGCTGTGACTCTTGGAGACACCTGCAGTCAGTTCCTATGGGTTGAGCAGCGAGTCGAGAGAGAGAGAGACTCATTCATGGTGTTGTGCATCGATCCTGAATGAGCTGCTTTGTTTCCATACGGAAGTGAGAGGAAAGTGACCCCAGTGGCCTTCCGTCTGATATCTGGCTTTCGCATTCAGTCACCGTCTGATATTCATATCCTCCTTGTATCACTATTTTAGCGTGTGTGCTTTCAATGGATCTGCCAATTACAAAGCAGCCTGTATATAAAAGAGAATGAGGCTGTCAAAAATAGAAAATATATAACCTATACAAACTTTACATCAAAAGAGGCTTTTTTTAAATCATTTTGTCATTTTATTGTTACGTTTTCGTATTCTTTTGCATTATTATTTTGTATTAAAGGGCTAGTTCACCATCAGTTGAACCATCAGTTTTTTCCCCCTCCATACTATGGAAGTCAATGGGGACCAGCAGCTGAAGGTGAACTAGCCCTTTAAAGGGGTCATATGATGCGATTTCAAGTTTGACCTACAATAATGTACAGTATTTGAAAAAGAATGTGTTTTTTGAACATTAAAGCATGTCAACATATTCTGTTACACCAAATACACCAAATAATGATCTTTAAAAAAGCATCATATGACCCCTTTAAGACACCGCTACAGCTTTTGAATTTTTGTGCAGGATTTCAGGTCTGTGTTGAGGACGGAAACCATTAACAAATCAAACTCAAGCAGAGATATTGAATGGGAAGCTGATTTATCCACCAATTCTTAATCTCCAACAAGGCTTTATGGATTATGGCTGTGGATTAACCCTTGAAATGCCAGAGAAGGGTCAGTAATCAGGCATCAATCAGAGAATTAATAACACAGCTGATTCATAACAATTTACAGTAGGAACATTGACTATATATATATATAGAGAGAGAGAGAGAGATTATATATATATATATATATATATATGTATGTGTGAGTAAAACGTATATATTATACTTAATTTATTATATAGAATTTACAATATATTATCTATTTATATATTTATAATATATAGTATACATATGATCTATAATAATATACGAGTATATAATACTTAATTTATTATATATATATTTAACTTTATATTTATTACTAATTATAATAATTGTATATATTCAGTGTTTCTACAGAAATATATATAAAATAATAAATGATCAAATACATTAGTAATTTATATATTAATTAATATATTTATACTAATTACTTATTGGTACATTTTATGACAGGCAATGTTTTGTTATATTGTGTTACATGATTTTAGTATATTGATTATTTTCTTAGTCGTAAATAGATTGTTTTTTATTTAATTTAAATATTTTTAAATTCAATAAAATAAAGAATAAGTTTAATTTTTTATGTACATTTGATATATGTTTATTTTTATATAGATATATATTCACTATTTGTGTTTCAGTACTGTGGCACTGAACGGGTTAAACGAGACACGAGACACTAAATGTGGGTGAAATGTGATTGGTTTGGTCCCTGAGTGTAGATCAACGCAGGATAAAAAATCTCCAGCCCTTGCAGATGGAGGGGGAAGAGGGGCTGGCATTACCGCATGCTGTGTAAACACAGGGGTGTGTGTTGAAGAACAGGCGATGATCATGATGATCTGGAATCGATGAGCAGAAGACAGTCATGCAGCTCAATGAAGGACTAAAGACGCCCCGGAGATGCTCGTGAGATGATGCAGAGGGACGCACGTGGATGGCAGAGACCCCAGCATCCTCTCAGGTATTTAGAAACGGGCAGATGTTGTGATCGCTGCTGCACTGATCGGATGTTGCATTGAGGAGCTGCTCTGTTTGCATGCAGCACAAAACAAACACGTTTGAGAATGAATTCCGCGACAATGTGCTGTTATTTACACACGTGGTTTGTGCAGAAATGTAAAGTTTTATTGTTATGCATGCGTTATTTCGGTCTGAATTTGTGAATGTTTAGTAGCCTACTGATGCTTAAATTGACATTTACATTGTGAATGGTTTTTAAGTATGATTTTTAATTCATATATATACAAATATTTTTTTTGCGCATTCTTATCGTGCTGTGTAAAGTCTGACCCCTGATCTCAGTGCGGTTGGCAGTGTTTGGAGATTTGAGTGTCCTCGCCTCAGATCCACGCGCGGGATCAGGTACATTAATGGGGTCACACATGCACCTCAGCGCGTTAACTGTTGTGTTAATTAATAGCAGTTGTGTTTACTTATTATGTTAATGTGCTAGAGTAAAAGTGTAACTCGATGTGTGCAGTTTTTGGGCATGGACACACGCGTCGGAATGTTGCGTTGCTCCTGCGCGGAGACTTGGGCGTGTTCAATTTTCATCCGCACTTACTTTTCCGCGTTAATGTTTATAACAGAGCACCGATTTTCCTCGGACCATGGTTATTAAATCTCAGCTAATAATTTACCCATAAGCTATTGCTGACCCCATTTAAACATTATTTTTTAAGATAAATTTAGTCGTAGATAATTTTGTTGTTGTATATATATATATTTTGTATGTTTTTTGTATGTTATTTATAGTTGGATATTGTATGTTTTATGTAGTTATATAGCTATAGTTTTATAGGATTGCAGATAAACATTGTGAATATTTGCTAAGTTGTTATTTAACCGCGAGCCGGTTGAAAATCGATTTAAATATGTGACGATTCAAATCGGTTGAGATGCTAAACATTTAATTTATAATTTGTCTTAAATCTCATTTTGTTAAAAAAAATCGTGAATTGAATCGTGAAATCAAAACCGTGAATCGAATCGTGAGTTGAGTGAATCGTTACATCCCTATATTTTAGTAATTTTACATTTGGCTATTTCAAAGTCTCCTTTTGACTTTTTTTTCTTTTTTGGCATATTAAATTGAGATTGGTCTTTATTTGAATCAAGAACATGATTAGACATATTGATACAAGGGTGTAGAATTAGTAGGGACGCTAGGGACATTTCCCTACCAATATCCAGCGACTACTAAAATTATCCCTAGCAATAATTTTGATCAAACAATTGTATGTAAGTTGTAACCATTGTTGTTGTAATGTCGGCCGCATCTGAAATAGGTCAT